GGCCCAGAGCAGAGGAGGCAGCGCCAGGCTCGGGGCGCTCAGTTCAGGGCCTGAACCCGGCGGTGGAATGACCCGCGTAGCTGCAGCAGTTGCCCCTGTTCCTCATCTGCCCGCGGTGCTACTTCAGAGCGACTTCGGAAAGTAACTCGCAGCGAGGGGCATCCGCCATAGATCACATGCTAAAATGCCTTCAAACCACCACCTGCTGCTGGAACTTTACTTGCCCCCCTCCCTCCCCAAACCAGGCCAGCCTCAGGAAGCCCAAGTGATAAGACTTTCCAGTCCTCAGGAGTGTCTTGTGGTGGCCAGGGCTGGATTAAATCTTTGGGCAGGGCTATTAGATTTTTGCTTTTTGGGTCCAGAGTGGGGCCTAAAAATGAGGGGTTCAAATTTATGGGAGGGGGTTGTAGGTTGAGAGCCAGAGGGGTCAAGGGCTCCAAGAAAGTATGTAGGTTCTGAGGTGAGACTGGGGATGAGGTATTTAGGGGGCAGGGCCTCAGGCTGGGGCCTAGGAGTTTGGAGTGGGGGAACAGGCTCAGGACAGGAGGTTGCAGGGGACTGGGTGAGGGATAGAGTGCTGGAGCAGGCTCAGGTCTGGGTTGGGTTGCAGAGCCTGTTTGGGAATTAGAGTGTGAAAGAGGGCTCAGGCCTGGGGCAGGGGATAGGAGAGTGGGGGCACTTACCTTTGGCAGCTCCTGTTTGGGGTATGGATGTACAAGGTGTATCCATAAGCATCAGCTTATCTGTTTCTGTTATGGTTATACACTGGCTTCCCCAGGAGCCAGCAGTCACCCCTCGCTGCAGGCTCTGCAGTATAAAGTTGTACTCAGACTAGAGCCTGCAACAAATCAGCTCCCAGTGTGTACTTGCTACCAGCCCCACACCCAGGGAGCAGGCTATCACCCTGCTTATAAACGGGTTCCTGACGTTCACCTACTCCAAGCTAGTGGCCCCACTCCTGCATTTTATTGCTGTCTGCTTGCTACCAGCCCCACACCCAGGGAGCAGGCTATCACCCTGCTTATAAACGGGTTCCTGACGTTCACCTACTCCAAGCTAGTGGCCCCATTTTATTGCAGTCTGCAGCACATGTAACCACTAGGATTTTTAACAGTTACATTTTTAACTAATTTTTTTTAACATTCCTAGTTTGGGGTGGTCTGGACAGATGGCTAGCCTGAAGGTACTGCCTCCTGCAGCTCTGGTTGACTGCAATCCCTGGCCAATGGGCAGCATGAGATAGAGCTTCTGGAGGTGTGGGGGAGAGGCAGCATGCCAATCCACCTCCTCCCAGCCTGCCAGGAAGGGCTGGCCAGGAACACAGGGTGTTAGGGGCTGCAGCCCTTTTCTTAATCCCACCCTGGTGGTAGTTTACAATACAAAGTACCTACAGTATCTCTTGTGAGATGTAAATTTATTTCTCTGCAGCCATTAATCCAGGTTGTACATAGTTAGGCACTTGCAGTATGTGCGCACTGTTACTGGAAATAACACTGATCTTAGCAGGTGCTTCTCACAGTAAAAATACCACAGCCCTTTTCTTAATCCCACCCTGGTGGTAGTTTACAATACAAAGTACCTACAGTATCTCTTGTGAGTACTGATTATTTGGAAACAGAAGACAAGAAATGTAAGGAAAGCCGAGTGTCCATGGATTGCATCCATTTAGTTCCAATAGTTCATTCTTCCCCAGAAAAACTTGGACACAAAGAAATGGATCCTTCCTGATATTTTCATCAGAAAGGAGGAGGAAAGAATTCTTGACAAAATGAAAAATTTAAAGCTTTTCACAGAGTTCCCCTATTTGGATGTCTCAAATGGGAGCGAAGAATTGAAAAAAATGAAGTCCCTGCCAATGTCACAAGACAAAAACTTACAGGCCTCGGGTACATGCAGTTCCTAAAACTACAGGTTGAACCTCTCTACTCGGGCACTCAGTGGTCCAGCAACAGCTGTGGTCAGGCATGATTTTAGTTAGCTGGATGTCCACTGATCATGGGTGTGGCTAAGTTTTCCATGGTCCAATCAAGTTTGTTTACAGCCGCCAATCCTGGCTCTCAATGTTCTGTGCTATTGTTCAGCTCCAATTTACTCCTAAATGTCTTCCAGTAAGCAGTGGAAGTGTTGGTAATGCTGTTAGGCAATATTGACCTCCCATAGTTCGGCAGTGGTTAGGTCCCAGGAGTGCTCGTCTAGAGAGGTTCAACCTGTATTATTTTTCCCATCTGATGATTTCAGGTTGAATGTGCCTTTCAACTGCATGTGTGAGAGAGAAGAGGAATCTTTTGAGTTGAATATCAAATCCCTATTTATGTATTGAGAGTGTGTTGAAGTGTTGGTAGTTGTACAGCTTTTCTATCAATTCAGGTATCATACATTTTACCTGTATTTTAGGGTCCAGAACTTTGAGTCACAAGGACTAGAAATAAATTCCATAAACCATCAATAATATGATATATTGAATTTATTTCAGGTTGAGATGGTTTGAAGCATCAGATCTTAAAACTCATCCTTCTGAACAGCTTTGATTTAGCACTTGTTTAGAGGTATTAGTTACAGATGTCTGAATAATACAAGTTTCTGTCCCAGTATTTGTTGTCACCTTTGAGTTAATCAATTCAAAACCTAGGGTATGTCTAGATTGCAAGCTTCTTTCGAAAGAGAGCATCCACACCTCAAAGCCGGAAGAGGGCATCCAATTCTTTCGAAAGAGAGCATCCACACCTCAAAGCCGGATCACAAAAGCTATCTGCTTTTTCGGAAGAGGGCATCCAGACTGCATGGACGCTCTCTTGGGGCACCTGTGCTTTTTTTCGCTTGCCTCTTCTTTCGAAAAATGTCCCTGTTCTGCCTTCACACATGCCTTTTTTTGAAAGAGCTCTTTCAAAAAAGGTGTTCTTCCTTGTAATTTCAGGTTTACCAATGTTGAAAAACCCCCTGCATTCTTTCGATTTAATTTTGAAAGGACGCGATTGCAGTGTGGACGCAGGTTAAGTTTTTTCGAAAAAAGGGCAGTTTAAAAAAAAAATGTAGTCTAGACATACCCCTAGAGCGTAAAAACCAGAAATAAATGTGGTCATTCTCCCCCCTTCCTCTTAGCTATATGTTGAGTAAATGAACTAGTCTTTGAAAATGTTTCTAACACTTTCCCTTTACTCATTAAGCTTTATAGAGGCATTATGAAAAGCAGTAGATGGATGCATATGGATCTTAATTTTTGATAGGGTCTGTGTTGGCACTGTAATGATTAAATATTCAAGCTACTTACAACGCAAGTAATGGCTTTCTTTCATGATTTGTGCAGAAGAGCAAGGGTCCCTGTGGGCTGTCGGAACATGTAGTGTATTCTAAGCTAGTCATTAGTGTTGCTCACTTTTGCTGAACGCTGGCTGTTGGGGAATTCTGGTGAAATCTCTCTGGGTTGGCTTAAAGAAATGCTTAGAAGAAAAATTGCACCTGCGATATGAAAGCCTGATAAGGGCAAAAGGTTAGAAGGTATAGTTGCCATGTCCATCACATAAAATAAGCAAAGCAATTGCACTAAGGGTATATGCTGTACTGTATTTTAGTTATAGACTACTAGGGGGTGGTGCCCCCTGCTCAGTATGCTCACCAACCCCCTTCTCTGGGGGTAGGCAGCCCTGGCTCTTCCTCTCCCTCCCCACCTGGCTGCTGGAGATGGCCATGCTGAGGCAAAGCAGCCTTGGCCTGCCCTAGCTCTCTCCCTCCGGTTTCTGGGGGCTTGGGCTGGGCCGAGGCCATGGTAGGCCTAGCGCTCTCCCTCTAGCTGCAAGGGGGGAGGACTCATGGCTCCCCTCACCATAAGCCAGGAAACCTCGTGGCTCTGGCCCTCCTGTGAGTGGGGAGGTCTAATGGATTGCAGCTCCCCCTTCCCTCGCTGCTCCAGCCTTGGCTGTCCCCCATGCCTCGTGAAGGGGAAGGTCTCGTGCCTCCCCCGGCTGCTCCAGCCCTGGCCTCATCTCCCCGGCTGCTCCAGCCCTGGCCTCCTCTCCCCGGCTGCACCAAGCCCCGCCCTCCCCCTCTCCCCAGCACGCTTGGCCCAGGGCCTACATGGCAGATGCCAGAGTTTTAAATTGAGGTTCTCTGGGCAGGGGGGAGGGAGACGTGGTGGTGGCTGTGGGCTTCTTACTACTGGTTGCGCTTAGATCAGTGTTTCTCAAGCTAGCGGTTGTAACCCCAGCAGTGATTGTGGGAAGGATTTGGAGGGGTCACAACCAAGGCCAGTATTAGAGGGTAGGAATGAGTAGTTGCCTGGGTCCCCACATAAGAAGACCCTGCAAAGCTAATTTACATGTTCCAGCCCTGCCCTGGGCTAAGTTCTATGCCTTGAATTTAAGGAAGGGAGCTGCAATTAGGCATGTAAAATGCTATGTTAACTGCTTAGCTGGGATGCTGTGGATGGGGGCACTGCTCTGGCTGGGCTAGTGCTCCCAGCTGGTGATGTGCCAAGCCCAGGTCAGGGGAGCTGTGCCAGCCCAGCTGGTGCTGCCAGTTAACCAGTTACCAGCAAATGTCACCTGGTACAGGTGATGCTTAGTGGTTAACCAGTAAGCGGTTTAGCTGCAATTTTTTTTAGGAGAAGGAGGTTAAGTCCAAAGGGCTTGTCAGCGCGAAAAGGTTGAGAAACACTGGGTTTGGTCATTCAAACTAGGACTGTTAGATATTGGGGAATTGAATAGTCATGTAACCACATGAAACCTTTGTGGTTACACAACTATTCAATCGTCCCTGGGGACTGGGCTGGCAGCCAGTGCATTCCTGGCCCCATTCCTGGGGAGCCCCTTGGAATCCCACACTACTGCCTCTGATGCAGAGGCAGCAGAGTGGGGTGGCCCCCTCTGTGGGGAGGGTCCGAGCTCCCCGTGGACAGCGGTTGCTCTGCATCCTGTGAAGCATCCTCTGTCTGCGGGGCACTCAGCATCCCATGTACAGTGGCTGCTGCCAGGAAGCAGCCTCTGCATGTGGCAGGCCCAGGCTCTCTGTGGACAGGGATGTTAAATTTTGATTAATCAGCTAATTGAGTACTCAATGGAATTTCCATCAACTACTCGATTAGTTGATAAGGAGGGCACTCCCTATCCTGCTGCCTCTCTCCCTTTGAAATGTACAGGAGCCACCCGTGGCTCTTGCATATTTCAAAGGGAGAGACGCATCTGGTACAGAAGCAGTCCCCACTGGCGCAGGTTCCCCTCTGTGCCTCTTCCTTGGAAATGTACAATAGCTGCAGGCAGCTCTTGTACATTTCATAGGGAGTGGGGCAGCAGTCAGGACTAGGGGTAGCAGGACTGTTTCATTCCCCGCTCATGTCATTTCCCCATTGCCCTCCGCCTCCCCTGCCCACTGTGAAGATGGTGCTCTGGGGAACTGGCTTTTAACTCAGCTCCCCGCAGCACCAGCTTGTGCTCCACCCCTATTGCTGCCTCTCTCTGCTAGAGGCAGCAGTGGGGTGGGGGGCAGGAAGCAACTAGTCGAGTTCCTACTCTACCCAATAAGCATGCTTATCAGGTAGTCATCGACTAGTCACTTACATCCCTAGCTGTGGAGCAGTCTCTGGCTGTGACGAGCCTGGGCCCGTTGTAGCAGGGACTGCTGCTTCATGCCAGCCTCCTCTGCCCCTCCTCCCCACTTCTGCCTCTGACAGAGGCAGTGGCAGGGCGGGGGAGCAGGCAGCACGGTGGAGCCGGGGGGGGACCCAGTTTTTAAGCTGACTCTCCCCAGCTCCTGCTCCCCCCTCCCACTGCCTCTGATACAGAGGCAGCAGCAGGGGGCAATGTGTATAGTCGACAAGATTAACTGATAAGCCTAGGCTTATCAGTTAATTGTATAGTCGACTTTTACGCTGACATCCTTAATTCAAACAGTAATTCTCCTTCCCTGCTGCTCATCCAAAGTAGAGAGAGTCAGAGTAAATACTACTAATTTACTAGTGTTAAAGTAACACTTGAGTATTCTAACACACAGGCAAATTAAACACTAGATAGATTTTAGAGTATTTTGTGTTCGGCAGACTCAGTATATCCATTGTATAGTTAGTTTGCCTTTTATTTGTGTGAACATTTTACATAAGATTTTTTTTTGAGGTTTTTATAAACAGGAAAACATGAATGGGTATAGTACATCATTTTCAAATGCCTAATTTTTCATTATGTGGTTCCTTCCATTAGAAAGTCTGTGTTCTTAGTGAATAGAAATTGCTACAGATTGAATCTCTATTGTCTGGCCCTTGAACCAGAGAATTTGTCAAACCATGGGAGGTCTGTGTTGTCTAGCAGCATTACCAACACTTCCATTGCTTACTGGGTTCTTAGAAGGCATTTGGGATAAATTAGAGCTAAATAACAGCACAGAAAACTGAAAGCCAGAGGGACTGATGGGGGCGGGGGGGAAGGGACGACTTTATGGGACCACGGGAAACTTGGCCACACCCATGATCAGTGGGCATCCAGCTAACTACAAATGTGCCAGACTACAGAGATTCAACCTATAGTGTTTTTTTTAAATGCTGCATTTTCTAAAGATTGAAAAATATTTTTAAAAATTTGTATCCCATTTTCTCCATAACATTTCTGTAGGTCTCAAGAAGCACAACTAATTTATGCTTTAAAAAAGGCAGCATTTCTTTTACGATAGAGTGCTTAAAATGCAGGGGACAACCGAATCAGTACTATTTCTGCATTAAGCCAGATTAAAGAAAAGGATCAGTGTGTATCCGTTTTTTACTGTTTGGTGCTTTCTCTTTGACAAATGTTAATTGGTGGGATGGTTCCATTTTAGCTTTTCTTGAGACAGTACTTTCTAAGTCTTTTTAACCAAAACTCTGCTGAAAAGGCTGCACTTCAATAACTTTATTCCCCCTCTCCCCCCCTTTTTTTTCATTTTTCAAGCATGGGAGGTACTATACCACCTGCTCCGGATAATGCCTCTGCAGAGACAGTGAAGGTGAGATATGGGATGCTTATAAAAGAATGGGACAAGTGGGTTTGTTTTAAATTTCCAAAGAAGGTGATTGGAGCATCAAGGAATCTTGTATATTTGATGCTAGCTTGTGGCAATTTCAGAGTGCTAGCTGCAGTACAAACAAACAAGAAGATGGTCCCTGTCTCAAAAAGTATAATCTAAGTATAAGAGAAGAGGCAACAGATTGGGTACAATCAGAAATATAAAGACGCAATGACAAATGTTGACAGCTGAGAGTTGGGGGAAGTCAGTGGAGGGACTTTAAAAGAGGTAGTCTAAGCAACAGACTAAGGCCTTGTCTACAGTAGGAGTTTACACCAAATTTAGCTGCATATGGTCAATTTTTCTAAACAGTGAATCCATGTTACCAAGCTTGGTCCCGTTGACCTTAAGGGCCGCTGAAGTTGGTGTTGGGTACTCCTACTTTTTGCAAGGAGTATTGCAATTCCAGCGTTACTTGATGAATTTACTGCAGTGTAGATGCACCGTTGATGAAAGTCAAGGTTATTCACCTCCGGGAGACATTCCACAGTGTTCCACTGTGGACAGAATTTGCACCTCTACTGCTCTTCAGGTAAAAGCCCCAGGAAAATTTGAGTTTCATTTCCTGTGTGGCCTGTGTTGGAAGCACACATGGCCATGACTTCAAGTCCCATAAGCTTCAGTTCCCAGGGGCACAAAAGATGGCCAGCATTGAGTGTGCAGGAGATCTTGATCTTCAGTGAGGCATGGGAAGAGGAATCCATTCTCTCTGAACTCCAAACCAGCAAAAGAAACGTTGACATTTACGTGAAGATCACAAACTGCCTCATCATAAAAGGGTATTCCAGAGATGCCCAGCAGTGCAAAGTTAAAATAAATGAGCTGAGGCAGTCCTCCCACAAAATAAAGGAGGTGAATGGATGATCTGGTACATCACAGCAAACATACAGTTTTCATGAAAAATTGCATGCAATTCGTCGGGGGAACCCAACCAGTTTCCCAAGCCTGATCATGGAGTCCTGCAAAGATGCTCCTGGCAGCTGCGTGGAGGAGGTGGCAAGTGGCCAGCTGGCAATCGGCAGGAGCGAAGAACTTTTTATAATGTTAGTTAGTCCTCTCCTTCCAGAATGACTCCCAGCCATGCACTGATCCCGGAGAGGACATTTCTGGTGAGTTCACAATTTTTTTTCCAGGGTACGGGGTGGGAAGGAAGGACTCAAGGACAGCCTCAAACTCAACCTTCATGGCCTTGGGAGGCAAAAGGCTGTTCTTTTTGCATTTCTGAGCCCCTTCCTCCCTTTGGGTTCCCACC